TTCTTATAAATTGGTAGGAAGTTTGGTAAATTAGTATCAAAATCTTGACGTGATAAAGTATAAGATGTATGAATACCCGAAGAATAATCTATCCCTTGTAAAATCTCCTCTAAAGCAATAACTTTTGGCAATAATGAATCACAAGAAGCTTTTTCTCGTGAGTTTCTAATAACTATAAATCTATAATTCTCACGCAAGTTATCAAGAGGGTTTACAGCTTGAACTAATACACTATACGCATTTTGCATCTCTTTTTGGGAATATTTTTCTACAAAATCTTCAGTTATATCTTCAGGGGTCTTTCTATAAAAAGATGCGAGATTGTAATTCTGCAAAGCAAGTCTATAGGCTAGGTCTATATACTCTTCTCTTTCTAAACATTTTTGAATATCCAAAGCTTCTATATCACTCAGAACCTGAGCATTAGCGATCATTGAATATTTTTCTGTATTCAGAGTTTTTTTGATTGAAAGTACCTGTAAAAGTAATTCTTTGCCTTTATTATTTTCTGTAAGTTTTGAGTCGATAGAAGGGTAGTCTTCGGTAATATTAATATTATAACCACATTCGCTAAGACGATCAGTCAGTAAACTAACAAAATCATTTTAGATGCATTGCGACGAAATGCGTTATAAAGATGAGTTTCCAAAGAAGCATTTGGCTTAAAAATCTATCTGCTATCTGGAGTAAGTATCTTATCACAATGAGCCTCTTCTAGATCAGGATATTATATTGATAGCTGATAAAATGAAGTAAATCCTCACGGTCTGTTGGCAATTATCACTATGTAAATCTATTAGAATGTGTACTATATTTTGATTTAGCTTTCAAACATGGTGCAACATCTGATATGCTTCATTGCTCGTCAGACCAGCTAATGTGCTGAAGTATGCAAATGTCATATCGAAGTTTTTGACTATTATACGTAAAAGCTCAAATTTTTTCTTATCTTTGCGTATCGTATCACTTTTTAGCACTTCATGCTGGCTCTGCTGATATCTACCTAAATGATACATAAAAGCTCGATTTTTTTCTATTGCGAGCAGGCTGTTAGGCGATTCAAAGAATCATGGCTCTTCGAGCCTACTTTTGTATATCACTTTTTTGATATTCATTTGATGATATATAAAGTTTGAGTCCGATAAAAATTACATAACACAAAAGTCTCTTTATATTGTCTAGGTATCGAAAACATTAATTTTTTATTTAAATTTTTTCTCATACTTATTGTAAGAGATGACAAAAACCCTCTATCTGAGATGAATAACTAGTTAAATGTAGCAATCTTTCTGCTTCAGAAATTATTACTAAAACTAGATGATATTATCTTAAACAATAGTTACACATATTCAATGAGTGCCAAAGATTTATTTTTCAATTCT